TAAAGTGCATACTATCGTAAAGCAAAAAAAATCATTACTGTAATGCATCATAACTGTCATAATGTAAAATAACAAAAAGGAAAACAGACATATTAATGAGAATTTGGGAGTTGCATTATTTTCAAGATAATTAAATGAAGCAAAAAGATCTTAAAGCTGTAAAACAGGCTTCAATTTCTGTATGCAAAATAAACTTATTTTTTTTACATAAATTTAGCATTGCATATTATAAACATTGTTGGCTCTTTGACAAATCGTTTTTATTTCTCTTTTGTAAATTGCTCTGGATTAAAGCATCCGATTCTGCTAAATGCATAAATGTAATTCATGTTCACGGTCTTATAGTGAACGATTCATCAATGCATATAATTCTGATCAATTATATGCATTGATATTAAAGCAATATCAGTTTAAGTTCATGCTAATGAAACATTCATGTAAATTAAGCGATTAAATTAAATCAATGAATGGGGCTTTTGTGTCAGAAAATGCGACTCATATTAAATAAAAAATACATGATATAATCTAATTAAAGTTTTAAACATATGCTGACTCCTAGTTAGAGTCAGTTAGTTACTTAGTAGCTATTAGTTAGTGCACATTCTACATATTTGCATGACATACAGTTTTAGATGTTGCATAAGCAAAAAGTAACGTACAGTAGTCAGACACGTACAGACTACATCAAAAATCCTGAATAAACATCTACTTCAGTTAGTTATAAAGGCTCGGGAAGCATCAAACGTAGCATTAAAACCACACACCTTTCCCCTTATTTCAGATCGATCGTTACACAGCTTATTTCCATATTCATGTTTTTATCTCATGCTATTTGAAAGTTAATGCGGAGGACCAAAATAATATCACAAAAGCTGTCAAGAACATCTCAAGGTCATATTTCACACAAATCCAAAGAAAGAAATGAGACGTTATATATTTGCATAAAGAAAACAAATCCTATTTAAAGATTTTTTTTTTACATTTCAGACATTATTTTCATGACAATTAAGCAGATTTACTACTAGTGTAAATCTCATACTCATTACTGTAATTCAGAATAGAGTATCATAACTGAAATATAAAATAAACATATTAATGAGAATTTGGAATTACGTTATTTTAATTACAATTAAACAATGCAATAAAATCCTAAAGCTCTAAAACAGGCTTCAGTTCCTTTGTGCAAAATATAATTTCTCATATATATATATATATATATATAT